CAACAATCATTCAAAAGTATTTGTGAAGTATCTACCATGCAGCAGGCACTATGCTAGGTACTGGGGATCCAAATACAAGAGAATGAAACCATCCCCGCCCTCACGAAGTTTACTCTCAAAAGGGTGCATATGTGAAATCTGCATACAATCTTAATATAAAGGGAACAAATACAAACATGTAATTAGGTGAAGTATTCTTTTTTTTATTTATTTTTTAGAAGCAATGGGGGTTAAGTGACTTGCCTAGGGTCACAGAGCTAGCTAGTAAGTGTCTGAGGCTGGATTTGAACTCAGGTCCTCCAGACTCCAGGGCTGATACTCTATCCACTGCATCACGTAGCTGCCCCCCAAACATGTAATTAGAGAGAGAGGACATTAGTAGTGGGAGGGGCAAGTTATGAAAAGGCTTCATGCAGAAGATGGTGTCTGGGCTGCATCTTCAAAGGAGGAAAGGTGTCTGTGAGGTGGTAAGGAGAAAATGGATTCCAGTCATGCCATCACAAAGTCAAGGAGACAGGAGATGAGGAGTTGTGTGTGAGGAACAAAGAAAAGGCCATTTTGGCTAGATCCAGAATGCGGGCAGATGAGCGTTCCCAATAGGGGGAAAGATATGTTGGGCTCAGGTTGTGTAGGGCTTTAAAAGCTGAACAGAGGAAGTTTTATTGACAGAGTTGCTGGAGATTGGGTGAGCAGAAAGGTCACTTGGTCAGATCTATGCTTAAGGAAAATTTGCTCCAGCAACAATGCATAGACTGCACCTGAGTGATGTCTATGTCCTTTTGAAAAAGAATAGTACATGCTTGTGTGAGGCACATTGTTTGTTCTACCTTTATGGATTTACTGACCTCTTGAAATAACTCTATGTCTTACCAAGAGTTCACCTTTGGCAGGTCAGGATCCACTGCTCTGAGCCATGGAAGGTCATGTGACAAGCTTCTGATTGGCTAGTGCAGGAATCCTCCACTTTATTGGTGTCATGGACCCCTTTGGCAGCCTGGTGAAGCCTACAGACCTCTTCTCAGAAAAAAAAAAATGTTTTTAAATGCATTAAGCAGAATATGTAGGGTTACAATGAAAACCAGCTATATTGGAATATAGTTTGCAAAAAAAAAAAAAAAGCTTATAGACCCCATCTGAAGAACCTCTGGTCTAATGGGTTAATAACAAATGCAAAACAAAGTCATTTCCCTTCCCTAAGTCTCAGTTTTCCTCATCTGTAAAATGGGGACAATAGTACTGTCACAATGCTGTTGAGAGGATCAAATGAAGTGATGTCTGTAAAATACCTCACCAACCTTGAAGGACTATAGAAATGTCAGCTGTTATAAGTGAATTGTTATTTATATTGCAGAAGTGCCAAGGGCTCAGCCCTATTCTAGTCCCTTCAGGCTTCGCGGATTTATAATAATAATAGCGAACATTTACGTAATGTTTTAAAGTTTTCAAAGCACCTTAAAAATATTGTCTCATTAGATCCTCACAACTCTGGGAAGGTGCTATTAGTATACACGTCATTTTACAGGTGAGGAAACTGAGGCAGGCAGAGGATAAATGACTTTCCTAGAGTCACACAGCCAGTAAGTGTCTGAGATGGGATTTGAACTTGGGTCTTCCTGATTCCAGGTCCAGTGCTCTTTCCATTGCACCCCCTCACACCTATAAAGAGTAGTAGTTTATATTTCTAAGGTGCTTAACACTTTACAAAGTGCTTTGCATTATCTCATCTGAGTCTCACCGCAGACCTGGGAAGGAGATATTATACCTATAGCTCAGGAAAATCAGACCTAGGGAGTTTAAGTGACTCACCTAGGGTCACACAGCCATTCAGTGTCAGGCAAGATTCAGTCCTTGGTCTTCTGGGCTCCAAGCCCTACCCTTTTCCTGCTATGCTCCACTACCGTTAAACAGTCCCGGGGACGGCTTCCCAGTAATCCAGTCACAGAGCAAATCGATTTCAGAATAAATGCTACTGGAGCTATGATCTCATTGCCATAGGGAGCTCCCAGGTGAGGAGACTCCTTCTACCAATGCAGATGGCATCTTTCTATAACGTATAGTGTTGGAGAGTTCCCCAGAGCCCTGAGAAGTTAAGTGATTTGTCTTTGGTCATCAACCAGTAGGGATCAGAGACAGGAACTTACATCTTCACTGCCAGCTCCTCATACACTGTGTCACACTGCTTCTTACAAAACAGTATAGCTGACCCTAATAGAAAGGTGGAATGTCCATAGCCCGCAGGTAATGAAAGACAGCAACAGAGAGACACAAAGACAGAGAGAGGAGACAGAGTCAGAAACAGAGAGTCAGAGACAGAGAGTAAGAAGCAGAGAGACAGTCAGAGATAGAGAGACAAAGAGAGATGAGAGACCATTATTATAATAATAATTATTATTATTATTATTACAAAGGATTTGGAAGGTGCCTGGTTGTAATAGAAAAAGCAACATGATGGAGTGCACAGAGTACTCAGCTTAGAGTCAGAAGAGACCTGGGTTCAAACCTCACCCCCTATACTTACTAGCTTTATGACCATTGACAAGACACTTCACCCCGAGCCTCAGTTTCTTCTTCTGTAAAACAAGTATCATAGGATCATATGGCTGGAAGGTACCTGAGAGATCCTCTAGGGTGGGGTGGGGAACCTTTTCATGTTGGAAGGCCATATTAATATTTAGCTATAATCAAATAAAAATATAAAAGATGAACAAAATGAATTAATAAAAATAAAAGGATTTGTTCTGTAAAATTTGGATTCCATCAGAAGGCCACACTTAAGGACCTAGAAGGCCACAGGTTCCCCACCCCTGCTCTAGTCCAACTCTCTCATTTTACAAATGGGGAAACTGAGCCTGACAAAGAAAGTTTGGTTAAGTGACTTCTGCAAGGACACACAAGTGAAATCATCTCCTCCCTTTACCCCTGGAATCCAAGGAAGAGCTGGCAGATTTCCCAAAAGTCAGAAGGAAGGAGAGAAGCAAGGGGCTAGAATAATCTTAACTTGTTCAGCATATTACAAGAACTATTCTTGTCTAACAGGTGATCTGGTCCATCAGGACATCAGACTAGCCTCAGTCAGTCAGTAAATATTTATTAGGCACCTACTATGTGCCAGGCACTGTGCTAAGTTCTGGGGATACAGAGAAAGGTAAAGACTTCACCATGTTTAAACAGAACAAAATGATTGGAGAGCCCTAGGCCCCCAGGGGCAGCTAGGTGGTGCCATGATGCACAAAGCACCAGGCCTGGAGTCAGGAAGACTCATCTTCCTGAGTTCAAATCCAGCCTCAAATACTTACTGACTGTGGGACCCTGGGCAAGTTACTTAACCCTGTTTGCCTCAGTTCCCTCATCTATAAAATGAGCTGGAGAAGGAAATAGCAAACCACTGCAGTATATCTGCCAAGAAAACCCAAATACAGTCATGGAGAATCAGACACAACTAAAAACAACTGAATAATACAGCCAACTCACTTCCATACTGCTTTTCAAATGTGCCAACTTCCATTGGTGAAAATCTTCCTAAACTACAAAATTGTGTGTGTGTGAGAGAGAGAGAGAGAGAGAGAGAGAGAGAGAGAGAGAGAGAAGAAGAAGAAGAAGGAAGGAAGAAAGAAAGAAAGAAAGAAAGAAAGAAAGAAAGAAAGAAAGAAAGGCCTTTGAAGCACTTCCTTGTTTTCCTAGTTTAGGAGACAATAATATTCTATACAACCCCAGTCACAGGGATCAAGGGACCAGCCAGGATCTACAGTGTTACTCATATCCTTTAGCAAGGGACCAAAACAGTTATCCCCAGTGCAAGGGGGGATACACACACACACACACACACACACACACACACACACGCACACCTGCAAAGCACTTTGCAAACTTTGAAACACTATTAAAACATCAGTTATTTATAGGAGAAAAGTCAGCAAAGAATCAAACATCTCTAACTTCTTCTTTGATTTGTCTCTGCAGTTTCCATTGTATGATTCAAGTCAACTCCTAAGATGCCCAGATGCTACTTGAGAGGTAGTATTGGGTAGTGTTTATAGGAGCTGGACTCAGGGTTCAAATTCCACCTCTGATGCTTTGTAACTGTTTGACTCTGGACAAGTTGCTAACCTTCTCTGAGTTTTTTCATCTATAAAATAAGAGGAGTGGACTCAGTGTCTCTAAAATGCCTTCCAGATTTAAAGCTATAACTACAGTTTCTTCATTTGTAAAATGAGAGGGGGTACATTCCATGACTTCTAAGGTCCTTTCCAACTCTAAATCTCTGATACTCCAACTGAAGAGCTTCAAGCCCAGGGATATTGGCCCCTTTATTAGAAAAACAACTGACTGCCACCCCATTTTCCACAAAGATTATGTCTAATTTCTGACGCTTCCTCTCTCTTCCCCATCCCCCAGCACAGCATCAGAAAGAACAAATACCCAACCAAAAAGATAAAACTGCTGTTTAGGAAGTGACAGGCCACATCTGCAGATAATTAACTCTAGGATTCATTACCAATTAGGCCTATAAATCTCTGCTTACTTTGGCTCCTGGAAGGATGATTTCACTAGGGTTTTTTGGAGAGTCAGATGAGACAACAGTGAGAAATTCAAGCTTGAAAAGGAATACTTACCATCCAAAAGAGGACAGGATTCCTCAATTGCCCAGGGCAGCAAAAACAGGCTTGACCTTCTGGGTCCTGGGTGCACAGCAGAACGGAATGCCATCAGGCTAAGTAACAGCAAAAAAATGGATGCCAATTCAGCAAAGGGGAGGCAGGGATGGTGAGACTGGGCCAAGGTCCAGAGCTACCAGATAGCGGCCTTTTCATTCATGTTGGGGATCCTCATAAAACCATCCAGATTGGCCTCACCACCCAAACTCAATGCAAGAGGTAGAGATTTAACCACTTAGTGAGTGTGGTGTGCTTGCTTGTTTGTTTTTCTGATTGGACTGTAGCCCTCCTTGGCTCTGAGATGAAAGAAGCAACAGCTGATGCCATCTGTGTCTTTTTCTACAGGTATGCTTATTTACTTTGGATATGGCATATGGAACAGCACGCTGGAAATCAGTGCCAGGGAAGAGGCCTTGCACCAGAGCACCTACCAGCGCTACGACGTGGATGATCCCTTCGCAGTAGAGGATGGTTTCTCCTACGGCCCGGAGGGTGAGGGCCAGCAGGACTGGGGAGGCGCAGCGGCCGAAGACAAAGGCTTCTATTACCAGCAGATGTCAGAGGCAAAGGAAAACAGCCGGACAAGTAGCAAACCGAAAAGCAAAGGCAAACACAAACAGAACTCGGAGGCCTTGATTGCAAATGATGAGTTAGATTACTCACCAGAGTAGAAGTGAATAAGTGAAGGGTGGAAGAGATGAGGATTAGGGGCAAACTAACCTGGGGGTTAGGAGGTGAAGGCTTTCTCAGCTCTCATTTGCAATTCTCCCATAGGTCAATCCCCCAAATCATAACCTGTACCTTGCTATTTCTCTCTTCAAGATAATTCTGTAAAAAAAAAAAAAAGGTTTAACCTGAACCCTATAATTGACCCTCTTCTTCCATCCTCACCCCTCCCCCCCAACTAGCAAAAAACCAAACCCAACAAGGCTGATGGAGAATCTCTCTTCATTCCGACATCAGAAGTGATCTGAATGAGTTTCTGACCCCTCTGCTTTATCGGTTGACTCAAAGGTTCTTTAAGGCCCTGTTGAGACACCAAGAAGCATAGTCCAACACTTCCATCCCATTGAGAGAGGTGCCAAAGCTGGTGGGTGAATGACAAGTCACCAGATTCAGCCCATCCTCTGAGTCAGGGAGGGCACAAGGCATGTTCTCAGTCCTTTCAGCTAAGAGTCCCTCACCACAAATGAATGGTGCAAACAAGTTAGCTGGCATTTTCTTAGCAAGGAATATTATGTCTTGGAAGCTCACAAAATTCTTGGACAAGACAGGTGCCTCTTTGTGTTTACTAAGGGACTTCACCCACATGCCCCAATGGACCAAACAAAGATCAGTGGATCTGAGACATATCCCCCGATGGCCCAAATCTGCAATGATGGAGCCATGTAGACTAAGTGGCATGGCCTGAGGTACCATAAAGTTTTCTGTTAAAAACATGGTGAGCTTCTGGGTCAAAAAAAAAAGTCCAAAGAGCATGGGCAGAAATAATGTTAGCCACTGCAAAGAAGTGAAGGGAGTACCTATTCCCCACACTGATGAAATCTGCAATCCATGGGAGCATTTGTTTTCAGAATAAGTTCAAGATATCTGACCAATACAAAGGTTTAAAAAAGAAGGCAAATAATCTTATGGGACTCAGCGAAAAATTGGGCCAAATTTGTTTTATCACTGGATAAAGATCTTAGCAAGTAGAGGTACCTCCAACCATTAAGGTCTCCCAGAAAATTCTTTTCTGTTTTTAAAATAACGAGTTGTACAGTACTTGGATATATCTAACCATTTGACTAGTGGGTGCTGCTCTGAAAAATGTTGACATATGGCTAGTCAGATAATAGCATTCCACAAGCCTCCATCCCACCTCAGAACCAGCTGATCCAGGGGGTACACACCTACATACCAGTGCTCTCTTCCAGTATATTTCTCCAAGCAGTATCAGTGAAGCCCCAAGGGAAGGGAAACCTCACCAGGGGAGGTACTAGATCTAGGCTTTAGTAGGTATTCTTACAAGAAAAAAAAAAAAAGCTTTTCCCCCCACCCCTACACCAAACAAAATGTGGTGGAAGTACTAAGAGTAACATACAACTAATTGGAAATTCTCCCCTTAGGTTATTGGCTGCCTCTCCCAAAGGCTTCACTGTTCCTTGCACGCAAGCTCAAACAAAACTGTTTCACGTATTGCTTTCAGCTAAAATCTTTGCAAGAATGATCCTGAAGGGGGGGAGGGGAGTTTTTTCTCCATCCTGCTGTTTTCCTAACTCCATCAAGCAACATTACGCCCTGGTCTTTCCCTTTCTAAATACCAGGACTTTGTGTTCTCAGCCTCTTCGTTTGCTTTGGGATGATGGTGAGCAGACAGCTACCGTGTACGGAGACAAAGCAGATCCAGGGTTGTCTCCCATAGAAAGGCTAGAGCAGGGGTGGGAAACCTGCAGCCTCAAGGCCACCTGTGGCCCTCTAGGTCCTCAAGTGTGGCCCTTTGACTGAATCCAAACTTCACGGAATGAATCCCCTTAATAAAAGGATTTGTTCTGCAAAATTTGGACTCAGTCAAAAGGCCACCCCCGAGGACCTAGAAGCACAGGTTCCCCATCCCTGGGCTAGAACATGCCATTTCAGCTAACCATCACTATTATCAAAACATGGGCTTAACAGGTAGAGCCATCCCTTCAAAATCACATTTGAAATAATTTCCCAGGAAAGCAGCATAGCGCGTGAGTAGCTGTAATACTCCCTAAACTTATAACTACTCCTTTAAAGAAAAAAATCCTTTGTGGTTATTGTTTTGAAATTTTGGTTTTCTGTTGGCTTCACTGGGATTCTGACCTCCAATCAACAATAATGTGTTTCTCTCATCTGAAGTTCCCTTAGGGAGACCATGCCTGGTCTGAAAGGAAGAGGAATTTGAAAGAGCAGATGGGTAATGAAATTCATGCTTTTATGTTCATGCTGCACACTGGAGGGAGACAATCATTGGTAACCTTTGTGGGAGAAAAAAAGATGATGGGTTTATTTCAAGACTCATCAAACCTACCTTGTTTGAATATATCCAGTTACGTTTTAGATCAGTCTCTCAGCTGCTAGAGAGAAAGTAATTCTTAATTAACATCACAGCAGGGGGAAAAATAGGGGAGGGGGAAATAGCAAAAATCTTAATGCAGAAAATAGAGATTGGCAGGGGTCTGTTGGAGGGTTTGGTAGATGTTTTGCCATGAGCAGTATTCAACAGTTCAATTCAACAAGCGTTTATTAATTACCTACTGTGTGCAAGGCACTGTTGTAGGCGCTAGGGTTACAATAACAAAATAAAAAGCAGTCCCTTTGCTCAAAGAGCTTATATTCTACTAGAAAATCATTGAAGTAAAAACTTAGAAGCAACATAATCCAACCTCTTCATTTTGCAGATGAGGAAACTGGACCCCAGAAAGGTTGTGATGTGTCCATTTGAGCACAGGTGCTCCAACTCCCAAGTTAATGTTCATTCCACTGCCCTATACTCCCCCTCCCTATTGGTATACAAATAAAGAAATACAAGATCACTTGAGAAGGGAGAGGAAATTAATGAGAAGAGATGGCAAGAAAGGCTTACCTATGGAAGATGGCCCCTGAGATCAGCCTTAGAGGAAGCTAAAGATTCTCAGAAGGGAAGGTTGAGGAGGGAGGAAATTCTAACTATGCAGAAAAGTCTGAGCAAAGACACAGTGACGAGATGTGGCAGAAAGTTAGGTGAACGATGACTAGACCACTTCAGTTAGAGTAGCAAGAGAGTAAATGAAAGTAATCAACAATCAAAGTGCAAGAAAAGAAAGATGTTTTGTGTGTTGTCCTTGGTAAAGTTCATTTCTTTTGCACCCATCACCAAAGCTCCTGTGATACTGGGAGAATTATTGCAACAGAATGAAAAGTACTCTTTTTCCCTAATAATGGATAGCAAGGAGATTGTGGATAATTGAAATGTACTGATAATCCTCAAATCTCATTTTAGTCCATCATTCCACTCACCTCTTCCATGAAACATTTTACTGAGTTAAATTCATATCAACCCAACAAATATTTGTATTAAGGGCATACTATGTGTCAGGCATTAGAGTGACAAAGATGAAAAGATCAGTTCCTGTCCTCCTGGAGTTTACACTCTGTTGAAATTGCTAGGAAACAGAAAGTTTCTGGATATCCATGGTCCTCCATTAATCCTGTGACTGATTGGCTTGGATTCTATTTCCTGAGCTGTTTCCTTGCCAATTGTCTCCTCCAAAGGTTCTCCTAACAATGCAATGACAGCTAGCCAACAAAAGACAGAAAGAAGGAAAGAAAGAAGCCTATGGCTCGAATAATGCTAGCGTTAGGTGATCTGCTCCTGACTTGCTCAGCATTGTACAAAAACTGATCTTCTCTAACAGTTGGTCTGGTTGTTTTGTTTTGTTTTTTTTTTTAAATCAGACTAGCCTATTCACTGTGTTTAAAATAGAATTAAGTGATTTAAAAGGAACTCTCGGACCACCTCATTTGCATCCCACTTCCTAAATGTGCTGACTCAAGCAGTTAGCTTCCATTCACAAAAATCAACCTCTTGGGACCAAAACCACAAAATTCATGGGATGAAAATTTGAAATTAAAGATTTGATCAAAAGCACTGAGAAGAAGTCAGTGAACAAATCTGTACTTTTTGCAGCTTCTGTTTAGGTACCAAAAAAAGCCCAGCAAATTAAAAAATTCTTACACTATACCTGTCATCCAAACTGTGCTAGGAAAGAAAACGCCAAGAGGAATTGGATAATTGAAACCATATCTGATAATGGCACAAAATGAGGTTGGCACCAGCTTCTCTTTTGCACCAGACCTGAGTGCCAGAAAAATTCTGTCCTAGGCTATGAATGTCTGGCCTTTTCTTTACCATGAACTTTTATTGCAATCAGTTGATGTAAAAACATAAGGAATCACAGAAAATCGTCTGAGTTCACGCTAACAGAGGGAAGAGGGAAGAAATGTGCCCATTTTGTATAGTGCATGCTGACATTTTCATGTCCTACTTTTGGTTTCACCACAAGTTAAATGTGTCTAATAGCTTGAGCTGTTAAATTTTTACATTCCAATAGAATATAAGCCCCTTAAAGACACAGACTGTCTCAAGTCTCCATTTGTGTCTAGTACATAGCACTCACTTAATAGATGACTGTTGATTGACTGACTGATTAATTGGGCATCCCAACAGAAATCATAAACAAAGGCATAGGTATATGACATTTACATTATTCTTTTAATCTACAAGAAAAATATAAACCATTGGACCTAATAATAATCTTTTATAGTTATTTGGTCTATATGGCAAAAAATAATTTTATCATAAATAACTTCTTCAGATTAAGGCCATTCTAAATTAATGAGAATCTAAAGGATAAGGACAGGGACTGGATCTGTGATTTCATTATTATAGGGAACTGTTGGATAAGGACATTCTTTCTGCCTAAGCAGAATGGCACCTTTTCTGAAACTTTTAGCCTTAGAGAGTTACTTAGAGAGCTAAGAGGTTAAGTGGCTTTTCCTCAGGGTCACAGAGCAAGTGTGTGTCAGAAGCTGCATTTGAACTCAGGCCTGTCTGACTCTGGGACCAGCTCTCTGTCCACTATACCACACTGCCTCATTCATTTAGATCTGTCTTTTTTTTTTCTAA